ATACTTACAAATATTAAGGCATCTGGAAATATTGGAATTTTCCTGGTATTTCCACTGTAGATATAAAGCATAGATTATTTCAGTAACCCACGTGAACTCTGAGTCACTTTTTTATAACTCCACATGATACCATTTATTCTGACAATAAATTTCTAGGTTGTTTCATGTTCTTTACTGAAATATGTTATTTTTTTCAAAGAATACTCATCAAAACATGAGTGATAAAATTATTAAAGTGGGCATTTAACAGTATTCAGCTGGTGCTAGAATAGAGTCAAGCATCAACAATAATTTCTTGAAAAAATTTGAAGTATCTCTGTTTCAAAATTTAAATATACCATGTTAGGAAGCAATAATAACAATACCTTAATGTCCTACAATAGCATAATTGGAAGAAAAGGTGTTAGTTTATGTCTTTATCCTGTATATAAGGTAAGGAAATACATTATTTAGTTTTGGTTGCATGCATTTAGATTTAAGTATTTTGTTCAAAATTGCAATTTGCCATGTGGAAACAAAATATTGATGCAAGTACATTTGGATGTCGGAGACAATGTTGAAGGGAAGGTAATACAAAGGAGCTAAACTCCTGTCTAAGACCATGAAATCTAAACACAATGTCTTTTTTAAAATCCTAATACTTGAAAATATGGCTTAAAGGAGAAATTTCTTGAGGAAAAATCAAACAAAATTAATAAAGGATTTCATCTTAGAGTGTCAAATTTTGTTACTAGAGTCTGAGAAGAAAATGTAGGGGGATAGTGAGAGATTTTTTCATGGACACAAAATTACAATTAAACAGGAAAAATAACAACTACTGGTGTATTGTAGTGCTAGGCATCTGTAATTAACCATAATTCATTCTGTATTCTCAAATGGCTGGTAGAGAGGGGCTAAAATGTTCTCATGACAATGACCTGATAAAGTTTTCCAATGACAGATATTATTGAATATTATTATTGAATAATAATTATTGAATATTATTGAATAATATTATTGAATATTATTTTATAAATAAATATATATTATTATTATATTATTATTGAAATATAACTCTGTACCACATAAATATGTATCATCAATACATGCCCATTAAATTATAAATAAATTACTTTTTTTTAAAAAAAGGAAATCCTTCTCAGAAAGAGGGCTGGAGGCTAGGAGGATTTGGACAAGAAACTATTTTTTTTCCACTCAGCCAAAATTACAACTTCTGTATTGTTTTAAAATCATTCTACATTTCTAAAAAAAAAAAAAGAAGAAAGAAAGAAAAAATATATGTATATATACTCTCTAGAACTTATCAATATATCCTTGAAAAGCGAATTCTGAATGAATTACAATGGCGCAGTCCATGCCATGGCAGAGTCCTAAAGGAGTCAGCTTGGGCTGCCCTCTCCGAGCTGGCAAGGCAGCCAGAGGGAGAGCTGCTGGCAAGGCCACAGCTACCAGCACTTGCTGCAACCAGAAGGACTGCCTGCCTCGGCTTTG